ATCTCTGTTTCGCACTTTGAATGTCAGGTGCGCTTGTTCAGTTGACACAATGGCGCCTGTCAATCAACTCATTGGGTTTGTCGCAGTTTGCCCCGAAGTCAGCGCCCCTTCCCTGGAGGTCAAAGCTGTCGGGTCCATCATGCGAAGCGGCCTGGCTACTGATTTACTGATTGCTGGCTATTAAATGCGCTGCAGTGAAACAGATTTGGTTAAAAATAACCAGAAAAAATTGTTAAAAGTTGTGGGGGAACATGCACAAAGCATTTAGAGGAAGGAATAAAGTTGATCCCATTTTCAAAACTGGAGTCTGATAAATGCCTGCAGCCGATCTAAGAACAGCTGAACACAGAGATCCACTGTATTAAAACACCATGTTTGTATGAAGCTTTGTCGTTATTACATCATATTCTTAATAGTTAAATATCAATGCGTGAAGCTTGGTCCAAAGCAATAGATAAGTGCTGCGTCTACAAATGGGTACAGTTTGCGGACCGTTTGCGGACAGTTTGCGGCGCTCCAGCGCGGCGCGATTTGAACAGTTTTGAGCGTTTGAAGCTTCGAGCGCGTTCAACACGTCCGACGCTTCACAAAGACTTTGAATGTGAACCAGACGCACTTGACGCTCAACACGCGTTTGGTGTGAACGCACCAAAAGTGCAACGCGCCGAACTTGAAGCGCCAGAGGCGTTTCCTAACGCGCATAACGCGTTTAGTGCAAACGCACCATTAGCGGGTTAAACGCTTGTCCAAGCGGGTGACCCGTCAGGTGACCCGTCAGGTGACTGTCAGGTCTTCAGTTCTCCAAACCACAAAAAAAAAAAAAGCTCATAAACCCCGCGACCTGCCAGAACGGCAGAACTTTAATGTGCTTGTTATTTAGCAGACAAAAATGAATTTCAATTCAACAGCCAGAGACCTAAAAAACCATCAGTAGCCATCGGTACTGATGGCTGATTGGCTTTTGGAGGAAAGAAATATATTCCCACAATTATTGTTCAACTTGAGCATAAATGATCTGCTCTGTCCAAAGTGTGGGTCAGCATTTGGTCCGGACCGATAACGGACATGTGGCCCCGATGTCGTCTTCTTTTTTTTTTCATCCCCACACCGTTAGAAAGAAAACATCGTCACGGTTCTATAAATATTCCTTTTGGGCCAAATGTGGCACAAATACAGAAATCTCATTTAATTTTTAGGCAGAATTGGTTCAGACCTGGATCGGATCAGTGTCAGAGCCTTTTTTCAGGTGTCAGACCGGTTCCTGATCCCAACCCGACCCGAAGCTGCCATGTGGTAAACCTTTGGGTGACTGTTATGATCTGGAGCCTTTTGGTCCAGATCTCAGTGCTGCAGGTTTTATCTGTACCTCTGTCTGTATGTAAACATAGAGAGGTGTCAGCCACAGATTGTCAGAGTTGCTCGTGGCCTGTGGAAATGTCTGGCGGGACCAGCACAGGGCCATAAAGTTCTGCCGCCTATGACTACAGGAAAAGCCAAATTATCTAATTAGCACTTCTTTTACACAAGGCAGACAATGGAGTTATTGAAAAGGATATCTATAAATACCTTCACAAAACATCAAACAATCTGAACTGACCCTTTAAATGCAATAATGAACCTATTAAGGAAGCAGGAGAACTGATTGGATCTTTACTCTCTGCTTCCATCATGTGACTTATACTGATATCAGCTGACTGACTAAGACAGAAGGTTGTATTGGAACCTTGTGGGCCCTAGCTATGCTGTCTGACAGTAAACCTCCTCTGAAGAAGCCGTACCTTTAAGGCGGTGCTGCCGGCAGCTGGCTGCTCCTCTGGGTTCCTCCCCTGCTCCCGTTTTTCACTCTTTGGAGGCAACTCCTCCTGGTCCCGGATTTTAGGCAGCTTGCTGGTCTTGCCGGGCCGATCTAAAGGGCTCAGGCCAAGGATTTGCGCGACCTTCTCGATCTCGGTGCGCTTCCTCTCGGCAGCCTCGTGCTCCTTGCGGAGGTTGGAGATCTTCGCCATGACCTCGTCCTGCAGGCGGTTTATCTCCTGCAGCAGGGGGTCCTTATGGCCGTCCTTCTCACGGCGCTTCTTCCTCAGCAGCTCGCCTGAAAACAGGAACGTCCAGATCATTGTCAGAACTGTAATTTTCACCGTCACCAGTGGGGAGAGGTGTTGCAACTTTATACTTCAGCTGGACCCAGCTCATCTGTTTGGACTTCAGGACCTGGATCAGACCAGTGCAGAACCCTCAGGAACTCACCCTGCTGCTTCCTGAGTCGCTCCAGTTCCTTTATCAGATACTCTTTTTTCGTCATTCTGACTTCCCGCTCCTGCCTCAGCTTCTCCCGCTCCTCCAGAACCTGAAAACAGAAACCCAGTCAGTAGAAACAGAACCGCAGGACTGGGTGGTCAGGAAAACCACAGAGCTGCACAGGAGTCCTGCCAGGATAGGTAAAGACAGGAAGTGACGCGTGCAGGTGAGTCACCTTTAGTTTCTCGCTCTCGTTGTTCTGCTCGTCAGAAATGCTCTGGTCCTGACTCCGCCGCCGCTGCTCTTCCTGACCAACACTCCTCGCAAAACCTGAGGACCAAACACACAGCTAATGGACAGGAACGCAGCACCAGCCTCTCTGACTGGTTCTGGTCGCTCCCTGAACCAGTCTAACTGGATCACCTGCAGGTCTGAGTGACCAATCACAGCAGATCTCAGTCTGGGTTCCTCACCTAAGGCCCCCGTCTCTGGGGTGGGTTTTCTGTAAGCCTTTTTGTAGGTGGGAGGTGGCGTGAGGTTCTCTGTGGCAGGCTGAGGGGGCAGGGTCATGTTAGGCGGTGGGTACATGGGGGGCCACTGCTGATGGATGTAGGGCAGGTAGTTTCCATACTGGCTGTATGCTGAAGGAGGGTAGTTTGGGGGCATCATGCCAGGGAGCTGTGGGGGAGGGTAAGTAGGGATGGGCATGCCTGTGTGAGTTGGGATGGGGGCGGTATCAGAGGTCTGACTCTGAGGCAGCATTGGGGTACTCCACTCATTCTTTGTCTCCTTGACCTCCCAGTCTTTGGAAGTTTTAGCAGCTGTGGTCTTCTTGGACTCATGGTCCTCGCTGCTCCAGCTGGCCCCCCGTTTGGTGCCCCGCCCATGACTGCGACTGCGACTTCTGCTGCTGCTTGAACTGCCGCTCTGGCTCCGCCTCCTCCGGACTCGGCTATGGCAGCTGCCGTTGGAGCTGCCAGAAGAGTATCGTCGCCGCGTGGGTGTCTTTGGAGGCTGCTTGTTGCCATGAAGGCGCTCCTTGGTCCTGGCAGCCATCTTGCTAATCTCGCCAACACCCAGGTCAAGCCCAATGGTTTTCAGGAGATCCTGGATCTTCTCGTACTCCTCCAAAGCCTGGCGCTCACTCTCCTCCAGTGGCTCTGTTCCCGGAGGATAGGCCATGACATTCTGGTTGGGGCTGATGCTGGGCTGACTCATGTGCCTGTTCGGCTCACTCACAGACGGAGTGACCTGAAGATGAGGTGAAATGGTTGGAGGGCAGCTGTACACTTGACCGGCCATGGCTCTTTGCGAGGGGAGATCAGAGTACAGCGAGTCTTCCGTCACATCTCCGTACAGATCCAGGCTGTGATGTCGGTCTGGCTCTGGTGCCGCTGACATTTTGGGCTCCTCCAATTCTCCATACAGAAACTTTTCTTCATCATCAATATCGTCCAGGACTCTCTGTGAAACGCCACCCACTGGCTCTGCCACGCCCAACAGATTCAGGATTTCTTTGATCTCATTGTTGAGGTTGGCCCGTTGAGACATCTGCGGGTCGGACCGCAGTTCTGAAAGAACAGCTGCCACAGCACGCGGGTCATTCAGCTTAACAGCCTGCATCAGTTGGTCGGCGACACGAGCCATGGTGCGGTCTAGATCCCTGGGCGAGTCGGACCTCTGTGGCACAGAAGCACAATGTGATGCAACGCCACCTCATCAAACCCAAAACCAGTCCTTCCTTATTGTAGTATCATCACATTCTAATATAAGCTAAAGCTTAGTAGCAGAGCAAGCTGGCCTTTCCAGGATAGAACCACTAATTAGCAATTAAACTGGTACCAGATTGAACATACCCGAAGAGACGGCGAGTCTTCGTAACTGTTGTGCTTCTTCAGGATGGATTTGGTAGGTTGACCCAGTAGCTCCTCTACCTCCCTCCTGCGTCGGGCCAGCTCCAGCTCTTTAAACCGCTTCCTGGACGGATCATTCTTGTCTCTGATGGAACTCGAGCTGCTGGAGCTCGAACTGCTGAGACTACGACTCCTTCCTCTGCTCTTCCCCCGAGATCTGGAACTGGATCTAGACTTGCTGCGGGCTCGACTCTTGCTCCGCCCACGACTCTTGGCCCGGCTTTTGCTGCGTCCCCGGCTCCTGTCTGGACTCCGACTCTCTCCACGGTGACGACTCTTGCTGCGTCCCCGGCTCCTGTCTGGACTCCGACTCTCTCCACGGTGACGACTCTTGCTGCGTCCCCGGCTCCTGTCTGGACTCCGACTCTCTCCACGGTGACGACTCTTGCTGCGTCCCCGGCTCCGGCCTGGACTTCGGCCCCTGCTACCACTTCGCTCGTATTCAGGTCGGGGAAGGTAATCTCTGTAGGAAGCATAAGTAGAGCTGACTAAGCACATCTGGATCAACAAGGGATCTTCTTGGTTCTTGCTGGGTAAAGGAGTCTCAAAATCTGTTCTGTGATTAAGTGTCCTACTTCCTGGTCTCTGAACTGCTCTGTGGAGAACACATATTCAATTATCTTGACAAACTGGACTGAATAAAATTAATTATATGGAATAACAAGAATCTCCAAGAACCATATTAATGGAGAACAGCTGATAAATGAGATATGAACAAAATTCTACATGCAATTGTACCAACAAAGAAATCATCCATCTATTTTCTTCTGCTAATCTGGCATCGGGTCATGGGGTCAGCGGCCTATGCGGGAGGCCAAGACTTCCCTCTTCCCAGCCACTGGTCCAGCTCCTCCATGGGAACCCCTAGGCATTTCCAGGCCAGCTGAAGAACATTGTCCCTTCTGTGTATCCTGGGTCTTTCTCTGGGTCTCCTCTTTCTGGGACCTTAATTCCTCACCAGGGAGGTGTCCATCCTAACCAGATCCCAAGCCACCTTAACTGGCTCTTCATGTGGAGAAGCAGCAGATGCTCCTGGATGGCCGAGCTTCTATCCCTAAGGGAAAGTCCAAACACCTTACAGAGAAAACTCATGTCGGCTGCTTGTACCTGTGATCTTGTTCTTTTGACCTCTACCTAAAGCTCATGACCATAGACCAGGGGTGGCCAAGTCCAGTCCTCGAGAGCCACCATCCTGCAAGTTTCAGATGCATCCCTGCTTCAACACACATGAATCAAATGACTGCCTCGTTATCAGGCCTCTGTAGAGCTGATCCCGGTCTGTTGGAGTAAGGATACTTCTAAAACTTGCAGGATGGTGGCTCTCGAGGACTGGACTTGGCCACCCCTGCCATAGACGATGGTAGGAACGTAGATCAACTGGTAAATCGAGACCTTTGCTTTTTGACTCAGCTCTCTCTTCACCACACAGGTATAGCGCC